CTCCCTTCCTCCCTCCCTCCCTCCCTCCCTCCCCATGAGATTCCCCCGTCCCAAAATGGCCTTTTTTTTCCCGTGTCTACTAGAAACTTGGCTTTTTCCTGCCCTAGAGGTATTTAGGGCAAAGCTGTGAAAATAACAGATTTTTTGGATCATTGGCTGAACTAAAAAAATGGAAGAAAAAAATCACTGCACAGTGACCCCAAACTGGAATTGCCCGGGCTCTTCATGGCAAAAATATATATCTAAAAAATCTATGGTCAACCAATTGTTTAATTCAATCTGAAACTAACTCACAGGGAATGTAATTTTTCCCTCCATCCTCTGCCTAGAAACCCATTTTTTCACAAGAAGAGATGATTTACAGTTTCCCAGCTCCACACTCCACAGGCACTGACACTGACGTGGTGTTTGATATCTTCCCCCATTGCACGAAGATCCTCAGTGGTGGGGGACTGGCCCCTTCAGTGCTATTTGTGATAAAAACTCAGAGGCAGCTGGGGGTAGCAACAGCATCACAGAACAGAGGGAGTCTGGCCGCCGAGAGACTGCGGGAAACTCTTTGTTAATTGTTCATGCAGAAACTGTTTTCATTTCGGTGTCTAATTGATATCTTGGGGAAACAGCATCTTTGGAAAAGACAGCGCATCCTGCCCAGGCTCTGCCTACGTGTGCTCAGGCGAGGAGCCCCACACTGCCTCTGCTGATGGAGTGAGTTGCTGCCCCCAAGGCTGTGGTGCTGTCCCTGTCCCCCTGCCCCACATCCTCACCCTGTGGGTTTGGAGACCTGAACCAGCACGAGAGCTCTGGGATGGCTGGAAGGACAGGTGCTGAGCTCAGCCACCTCTTAAACCTTTGGCACAAAAGAGACTTTGGAGAGTTTTGCACAGAGATGCCTGTTCATCAGCAATGAGAGTTGTGTCAGCCTCTTGTCTCCACTCAGGGGTAGGGACTACCCACATCCCCACGGGAACTGCCAGCACTATCCCTCCTCCTGCCAGAAGGAGCACTGAGCCCCTAATTTCCCACTGGATATCATCCCTCCTCACTTTCTTTAGGCCTCTCCAAAGACAGCAGCCATTGCTCACACACACAGCTCCAAGGCTGGCTCTGAACTATTTAAAAGCACAGCAGGTATTTTAATTATTCACGTCAAGCTCATCCTGCTTGCTAACGACTCTCTGAAGCTGTCATAGCCAGCCCAAGGTGGAGAAGAGTCCTGGCAGGCAGCTTCCCATGGCCCAGCCTCAGGGCAAAGCTTGGGTCTGCATAACAGCCACGATCAGGTGTTGTCATCAAGGGCAGGGGTGGCACAGAGACACCTGGGTGAGCAGCACCCTGGCAGATCTGCCCAGTCCCACGCACGCTTGCCCACCCA